AATGTTCTTGCGAATCTTCTCATATAACTTTTGATCACATTTTGATTCTAGTTTCGTTTAGTATTAAATATTTTCACGGAAGGTCGCGATGGTCGTCGTTACGAAATCATAGACGCCATAAAACAAAAATTAATAACTAACAATTTAGAGTTAAATTCTTTACAAAGGTTATATAGGAATGTTGCCTGAAGTTCCAGCTTTGCAATGAAATTATAAAAGTACATAAATTAATTACGGAAATTGAGTAATTTATTAACTTTTCTCTGTTGGAGCCCTTCTATCCTTTTCTATCCCCTCTCTGTCCTTGTCTGTCACGTGACCTGCTCACCGACGACCTCCTTGCCTATTCTATATTCCTATCACTTTTCTGATCATTTGGTCCAAAACCATAGATGGCGCTGATCGCAGGCGGTAAAATTTGTATGTAGTCGGCAGAAGAAAATTAATAAATTTCCAAGTTTGTTTAATTAATTCATGGACATATATAGCTGCACAGCAAAGTTGGAATTATAGGCAACATTCTTATACAATGTTTAATTTAATAATTAATACTTACATAAGCGTTGGGTTTTGTATTTCCTGTATCTAATGACTATTTATATTTTCGTTTTCTTTCCGTAGTAAATAACATTGTTATAGAAAGCTGTTTTTTTTGCATAGTATTCTTATTATTTTGTAATAAATATATACTAGCATAAGAAAGCGTAAAAAATAAATTTGTTTATTAAGAAATTTTATTTACAATTGTTTATTTACAATGTCTTCATCGGTAAAAAATAAATATAAAATAAGAATAGATTGAAAAAAAACTATTAATTATGAGGGAGGACGGGAATCGAACCCTGGACCTGCGGCATAGGAAGTCTCGGATGTCGCCGGTAGTCTACAATGTCACTTAAAAATTATTAGAAATAAATTTGTAATTACGATGTAATGAAACTTTAATCATAAATATCTCAAAAACTGTCGAGTAATTGACCCTGTAATGATATATTTTCTTGAACTGCATGACGAAATCTACAAACCTACAAAGTTTCAACTAAATCTGTGAGCCGAAGGACTTGTACTCTCCTTGTAAGCTTACAAGTCTCACCGAATGAATATTAGATTCGAGAAAAAGTTCTTGAGCATAATAAAAATTTCTTGAACAGTGTGCTATCATCCATCACCAATTTCTCATTTACCTTCTGTCCACGAGATCTAACCGCGAAGATCCCGTTTATCCGTTAACACGTTACACCTCGATCTTCCTCTCTCCAAGCTTCCACACTACCTGCTCGAACATTTGGCCAAGAGACACTTGTGCAAAGGATTAACTAACTCCAACGAAATTTTGCAGCATCGAGACGCAGGTGCTGGCGGTGGCGGTCAATCGCTAGTCTCTCCAGGTTCCTGCCTGGAGGAATTCCGCGCCAGGCCCTTCATCGAGTGTCGCGGTTTGGGCACGTGCAACTACTTCTCCACTGCCACATCCTACTGGCTGGCCACCATCAAGGACTACGAGATGTTCCGCAAACCGCAACCACAGACTCTGAAGATGGACCACACATCGCGCGTGAGCCGATGCGCCGTGTGTCTTCGGCGTCGCCTCACCGATGAGAGGATAGTTCGACCTTTCGTGCCAAATGGTCAGAGGGACTCTGTTGGCAACATTCAGTATGCACCACCGCATCGTTACCCTGACTATCAGCACTACAGGAAAGCGCCCATAGGCAAGACGAGGGGGCCCAACAGGCAGGTGCCCTACCACTATAGGAGAAGAGGCAGTGTACGTAAACCTGAGCGAAAAACGGAGACACCGGAAGCACCTTAAGGGATCACCGGCGCGGGTACAATCGTGTGGAAGAGCAGCGAGTCTGTGTGTATATATATAAGAAGATAATCGAACCTTTAAGTTAAGTTATCGCGTCTATACCGTAGCCAAGGTACACGAACGGGCGCCACTCGTCTTTAATGCCAAAAATACGATAACAGGGGACGACGGTCCTCTGCCAAAACTGCCAATCGACGGCGTCTGCCACGACGCGGATCGACATCGGTCGAATTAAATTAACAATCCTGTGTATCATATTGTATCGCTACTACTGTGTATCAACTTCTCTATGTACTTGCATTCAGCCGAATAAAATTGTTTTATAGAAGCTACCGGACGCTGTGCTCGGACAGCCTGATGATCCTCACCGTGGCGGGACGTCGGGTGTCGTGTTCAATGGCCTCTTACGTGAACGCGTTTTCCTTTCATTTTCTTTTTTCTTTTTTTTTTTGTTCTTTTCATGCTTCTTTTGGGAGAAGGAACACAGCGATGGAGGAATGGTCTTGTATTTATTTGGAACTGTTGATAGAAAGCGAGGAGATTGATCGTTATAATGGCACTGCGGTAATTATTAGAAAGAAGGAATTATCCATTGCTATATAAGCGTTACTTCTTTGATTTTGAGAATTTGTACAGAAGATTCTTCCTCTCGAGCTTCGTATGGCGCATCTGTGTTTTTCTATGGGGTCAAGTACTTGGAAACGCGTGCATGAAAGAAACCATGAGGTAAAGATTTCGCTTAACAAATGAACGAAACTGAACTTGCTTTGTAATCGATATTCTTTCATTTCTGCTTTAAATTTAAGAGTTCTTCTTTTATATTCCGTTTGTTTAATCTGTCGCGATAATTGTCTAACGATCGAGAGAAAAATCGGTAATCGGCGCGATACTTGCCACGCGGGAAACTATTATAGAATTTCTATTTAAAAGTCGCATAGTTATATATACAGAGTTTAATAATTATCACGCTATGTCAATCTTATGCTTGATGCATATTATAGAGAATACAGTAGAGAGAATCATTCTAACGGAGAATACTGTCGCGTGTAAGGGTAAGACTACTCTAATTTTATATTTATATATTATGTATCGCTATTTTAAGTAATAAAATGTATTACTTATCCAAACTGGTATTTCTAATTAAGCGGCGAAATAATAATAGCGAATCGATTCCTTAAAATTGCATTTTAGATAGTTTTCAAAATGAAGCTCACCGATGCCACGTTGCTTTGCATAATTAAATTGGCGAACTGAATGTAAAAAGATAAATTTGACGAAGCAGATTATTTAAAGAATCCAACATAGGTACAACCACTCTAATCTCCATCGATCAACTCTTTTCTTAAACTTTCGCTCGTACACTTAATTCGAAACTTAACCCCTTGCCCTATGATTTAAGTTGCAATGGGCGCACGTGCCATAGTCAGCAGCAAAGTTGGATACGCGTCGAGCTATTTCGTCAGGAATGCGACGAAGAATAATGCGTGACTGAGGTAGGAAGACATCGAGGAAAATTAAAATAACCATGGGCCACCACACTCGTGTCGTTCGCGTTGGGCCCTATCTACGGACCACGGCTCTCGCCCGTGATACCCGTGTTTGATCCGATTCCTTACCGCGATTTTCTCACGCGATATCATACAGCGAAGCGGGTTAAGTTTCAAAGTGAAAGCAAAGGATCTCTCTTTCTTTGGATGATTTTTTTCTTTTTTTTTTTGTTCTTTTCATGCTTCTTTTGGGAGAAGGAACACAGCGATGGAGGAATGGTCTTGTATTTATTTGGAACTGTTGATAGAAAGCGAGGAGATTGATCGTTATAATGGCACTGCGGTAATTATTAGAAAGAAGGAATTATCCATTGCTATATAAGCGTTACTTCTTTGATTTTGAGAATTTGTACAGAAGATTCTTCCTCTCGAGCTTCGTATGGCGCATCTGTGTTTTTCTATGGGGTCAAGTACTTGGAAACGCGTGCATGAAAGAAACCATGAGGTAAAGATTTCGCTTAACAAATGAACGAAACTGAACTTGCTTTGTAATCGATATTCTTTCATTTCTGCTTTAAATTTAAGAGTTCTTCTTTTATATTCCGTTTGTTTAATCTGTCGCGATAATTGTCTAACGATCGAGAGAAAAATCGGTAATCGGCGCGATACTTGCCACGCGGGAAACTATTATAGAATTTCTATTTAAAAGTCGCATAGTTATATATACAGAGTTTAATAATTATCACGCTATGTCAATCTTATGCTTGATGCATATTATAGAGAATACAGTAGAGAGAATCATTCTAACGGAGAATACTGTCGCGTGTAAGGGTAAGACTACTCTAATTTTATATTTATATATTATGTATCGCTATTTTAAGTAATAAAATGTATTACTTATCCAAACTGGTATTTCTAATTAAGCGGCGAAATAATAATAGCGAATCGATTCCTTAAAATTGCATTTTAGATAGTTTTCAAAATGAAGCTCACCGATGCCACGTTGCTTTGCATAATTAAATTGGCGAACTGAATGTAAAAAGATAAATTTGACGAAGCAGATTATTTAAAGAATCCAACATAGGTACAACCACTCTAATCTCCATCGATCAACTCTTTTCTTAAACTTTCGCTCGTACACTTAATTCGAAACTTAACCCCTTGCCCTATGATTTAAGTTGCAATGGGCGCACGTGCCATAGTCAGCAGCAAAGTTGGATACGCGTCGAGCTATTTCGTCAGGAATGCGACGAAGAATAATGCGTGACTGAGGTAGGAAGACATCGAGGAAAATTAAAATAACCATGGGCCACCACACTCGTGTCGTTCGCGTTGGGCCCTATCTACGGACCACGGCTCTCGCCCGTGATACCCTTGTTTGACCCGATTCCTTACCGCGATTTTCTCACGCGATATCATACAGCGAAGCGGGTTAAGTTTCAAAGTGAAAGCAAAGGATCTCTCTTTCTTTGGATGATTTTCTTCTTTTTTTTTTTTAATAAGAGGATAATTAGAGATATCACACGCGAAAGGAAAATAAAGCACATGAAAACTAATTACAGTTTAATGATCGAACCCGCGCGGACCAGGCGCGAACTTCCAAAATAAACGTACACGTGAGAGATCGATATTATATTTATATTTATAAAATTATTCATCATTAGAAAGCACATATGATCTATCTATATGACGTAATTCACTACGCACACACGCGTACAAGCGTGCCTACGAGCGCACGCACGCACAAAGAGAAAAAAACACGCGGAGCCGCACGCACACCGTGAAATACCATTCATTCCTCGTCGCGCACGCAGGCGTAAGCACACACATACACACACGCGCGGGCATACATACACACGTACGTGGGCGCGCGTGCGCGCCACACACACACACAAAGTAACCGCTGTGTGAACGGCGACGCGCGACTAACGAAACGAGTATACATGTCTATGTATGCACGTGTACATATTCAGAGTACCTCACGAATGTGTTTTACAGGGTTTCGTATCTTTTATACTTTTTTTTTTCTTTTTTTTTTATATCGTTTTGTTTTTATCTTATGCAACTCTTTGTAACTGCTCGAATAATTGGAAGAAAGTGCAACAGAGATGAGCAGGCCAGTGTCATCACAGTGATTATACCGCATTTTACTTCACTCGAGAAAATATCATCTTCGTCCTTCAAAATCTTCATTGTTTCCTTTTTCTTTCCATTTCATTCGTTTCTACGTGTACCTCTTGCTATACGTCTTCGTCCTCCTCGTCTTCATACGTGTTCGATTAAATAGTACGTACTTTTATCCCGTTCGGCCACCTCGTTCCCATTTTCTCCATCGTATCGTAATCCTTACGATCTAAATGTATCCTTAAGAACGTTAACGTCCCTCTCGCTAATAAGATCATTAAACACTAAAACGCTCGTAAAATTGCAAATAAAGAAGAAAAAAGAAAGAAAACGAATTCCTCGTCTACACGTCTAACAAAAGACACTCGATCAAACAATCGCGTTAAATTCGATCAACGATCTCCCCGCTACGCGCACGTTTCTATGAACGTGCCATAAAATCGAAACTGAAAAAAAAAAAAAAAAAAAGAGAAAGAAAGAGAGGGAAAGACGGACGCTGTGCTCGGACAGCCTGATGATCCTCACCGTGGCGGGACGTCGGGTGTCGTGTTCAATGGCCTCTTACGTGAACGCGTTTTCCTTTCATTTTCTTTTTT